ATCATCTCCCATTGTTTTAACATGTTCTTTTACTCTACAGACTGAACTACTTTAGAGTCTTGTTCCTCCCTAATTATTTAGACTTTACATCGGGTGAATTATGGTACTTTACTATAGTTATTGTCCTGCGGCATCACTGAATCTACTTCTTCCTTATATCATGCAAGACTCTTCTTTTTCTCATAACATTCTGGCTTGAACTTAGAGCATTTCTAAAAGCTCATGATTGGTCAAAGGTCAAACTGTATACCTTCTCCCCATTGTTAAGACTTGAGCCTGTTCTTTAGACTTGATTTCTCTGATTATAGTTTGTCCTGAGAATTATAGTATTTCATTATAAGGTGGTGGGGTAGATGAAACAGAATATGGGGATTAAGAATTCTGAATTTAGAAACAGACTTCCTGAGTTCAGATTCAAATATTATCTGTGTAATCTTAGACAAATCACTTAACATTTCTGTGTCTTTTATTCTTCATGTACAAAGTAGGATAATAATGTGATGGACTGAATTATGTCCTCCTCCAACCCTCAAATTCACATTTTGAAGCCCTAATACCTAGTGCCTCAGAATATAACTTTGTTTGGAAATAGATTGGTTACAGATGCAGTAAGTTAAGATGAGATCATACTGGAATAGGTTAGGTCTCTAACAGGAATCATGCCTTAGTCCATTGTTTGCTGCTATAGCAGAATAACATAGACTGGGTATGTTATAACCAATACAAGTTTATGTGCCTTATGGTTCTGGAGGCTTAAAAGTCCAAGAGCATTGCACTGGCTCTGGCGAGGGCCTTTCTGCTACGTTGTAACATGGTGAAAGGGCAAGTGAGTGTGCAAGACAGAGATAAATCGGAAAAAAATTATCCTTTTTATCAGGAAGCTACTCTCACAATAACTAACCTACTTATGTAATAATGGTCTTACTGCATTCCTGAGGGCAGAGTCCTCATGACCTAATTATTTCTTAAAGGTCCCCTTTCTTAATACTATTAGGATGACAATGGAGTGTCATTGAAATCATCACAAATCATGCCTTATTAAAAGGGGAAATTGGGGCTAGACACCTGCACGCCTGCACACAAGGAGAGCCCTGTGTGAAGGAGAAGACAGAGATCTGCAAGCCACAGAATGCCTGAGTACCAGGAAGCCACCTGAATCTAGGACAGAGGCATGCAGCAGGTTCCGCCTCCCAGGACGGAGAAGGAGCCGATTCTGGTGACACCTTATCGTTGGACTTCTAGACTCCAATACAGAGAAATCCCAGGTGTCTGCTGCTGAAGCCATCTGGTCTGTGTGCTTTGCTACAACACCCTGGGAAAACTAACAAGAGATAACACCTATCAAATCAGCTTTGTTGAGGAATCGAGATATTATTTTGTGCAAAGTATTATTTTGTGCATAGTATTAGACTCAGAGCAAGCACTAATGAATAAAACTTAATCAATTTGTTAAGTGCTAGAGACAGCTTCACATTGGGCTGTATGTATAGAGAATGTGATTTCAAAGTCTCTATATGGGTGCAAAATGCAAATTTCTTCATTCTTCCACAGATCCTTGTCCCAAATTAAAATAATAATAGTACTAATGATGGAATCTTCATGAGACATAACCAATTAATAAACATTTCCTACTTGAGAGGCTCCATGCTAGGTGTTTGGATATATTATCTTCTCTATTTTACCAACTGCCATGGGCTGGTGTCTACTGCTGATGTTTAGTCTGCTGTCATGCCCCAACATCAGGTCTGTGGGCTGTGTCCTTCCCATCTCAAGCTTTATCCCTGTCCCCCTTTCAGCACCTCTTCCCTTTCCTTGGGGACTAGGACCTGCTTTGTTTATACATGCTGGGGTAAGCATGAGCCTGTGATGATCATACTCAGACCTTTTTTTTTTTCCTTCTGAGCATTCATTGCTGCATGACAGATCATTCCAACACTCGAAGGCTTAAAACAATAATAATAATTCTTCCAATTTCTGGGGGTCAGGAATTTGAGAAGGGCTTGACTGAGCATTTGTAGTTCAGGGTCACTCAATGAAGCTGCAGTCAGATGGTGACATTGTTGAAGCAGCTGTGGGCTGGCCAAGATCCTCTCTCTGTCTTTTCCTGAAATCTCAGAACTTCTCTATGTGGTCCCTCTGTGTGGCTTGACTTGGGCTTTCTCATAGAATGGCTACTTGAGATAGTTGCTTTTATGTGATTGTTTAGAGCTCAGGCATAAGACAGGCAAGCAATATATTTTATGATGTAACCTCAAAAATCAGACAGTGTCACTTCTGTATTTTATTGGTTGTAAAAAAATAAAAAAATGAACTGAATTTCAAGGTGAGGGCAGATGAACTCCAAGTCCTGATGAGGGTGTATATAAGATTCTAGAAAAGAATGTGAGTCAGGAGATATTATGGACCCTATTTGGAAAGTGCAACTGCATGCACTTTTAGACATTTTCTCAGTGTCTCACTTAGAATTTAGTTTAGTTTCTTAGAACAGAAAATTCAAATTACAGAAGTGTAACCAAACGAGATTTACTTTTCTATTATGTAAAATAGCTCTACTAGCAGGAAGTTCAGGCTGCTGCAGCATCTCCATGATTATCATGAATATCTTCTGTCTTTTTGCTCTGCCATTCTCAATGAGTGCTTCCTTTCTTAATGTTTTGTTGGCGTAAGGTGACTGAAAAGCTCCAGCCATCACATCTATGTTCTAGGAAGTTGCAAGTAGAAATGGAAAGGCAAAAAAAGACACACTTTTCAATTGAATGTCCACCTTTATTCATAGGCATCCCATCCAATGACTTTCAGCTAAATTTCATGGATAGCTTGGCACCTTACTTCAGTTGAAATGCAAAAAGAGTTGCTGAGGATAGATGCTGGCTAAGTAACAAGTAGCATTTGTCCACTTGGGCATTCTACCTCTATTGCTTGAACTCCATGTTTGAAGCAAGACTTCTCTTTGATGCCTGCAGGCTCTTCTGGCTATGCTGGGAACATGAAGCACAGCTCCCTTTTCTTCCCCCCTTTCCCTCAGCACCAGTCCTGTCTGGAGTCTCACAGGCCCAGAACATGAGGTGCCTGTTTCGGGTACCTCTACCAACCACTATCACTTATCTCCTTTTCCAGAAATGGTGCCTCTCCTCAAAGATGTCCTTTCTGAGCTCTGCTTGTGGGAAACATGCCTGGTTTCTGTGGTCACACATTCTTCCCAAGCTGCTGCTGATGCAGGAAACTGTGCCTCTCCTCCTTCGAGCCTTAATGTTTGCTACTCAAAGCCTAGATTATAGAATTCAAAAAATCTTTTCTCTCTTGCAAAGCCAGATTTTATAATTTGATGCTTTTGCTTTTGAGATTATTATCTCTGCCATGAACTTTAAAAATCCGTTCAGGAAAGAAATCCCTTCAGTAAATCACTTGATTCCTTTCTCTATCCTGATGTAACCCCTGGAGGCCATACAGGTGGAGAGCTCTCTCTGCTGCTTGGAGTAGGGGGAGCAAAGTAAAAATAAGGGGGAAGGAGCCAGGGGTAAAGCTTGAAAACACTGTCTGCTAAAATGAATACGATTAACATAGCTGAAAGGGTGGTGTAACAAAATCCATTGAGAAGTGCAAAGGGTAAAGAATTCGGACTGGGGGCAATGAGGGTGATGTGGGGTAGGATAGTGGTAGTGATGTCATAGTGCAGGGACAGAGACTCTGATGCTGGAAAACCGAAAGAAAAGCATTGCAGATTGAGGAAAGAGCTTCAGCCGGTCAGGGGTCCCTCAGGTTGAATCATGGGGAAGAAAAAAAGAAGCTTGAGGGTTTTTCTACTGTTTTATTAGGAAAGGATTTTTCATTCTTGTTTTTAGAAGAACTGAATGATGAGAAGTGCACAGGAATGGGGGCCAACATTTATTTAAATAAAACCACTTTGCTTGACACTGTCTTCAGCCAACAAATACTTAGTAACTGTTGGCTCTATCTTGGCTGAAAGCTAAGCCTGAGACTTCAAAGGTGAAAAGACTTTCTCTTTGACCTTAAGGAGTTAGAGATCTTGTTTTCTCTTTTTTTGGGGGGGTTGGGGGGTAGATAAATAACAAGCTATAGCATGATTTGGTTAGTGTTACAGATGAGATGAAGGTGACGAGAACAATGCATTCAATGAACACCTGTTTATTGAAATAGCAACCTCTCTACCTCCATATGACAGGCCCCAACATGACCTGGAAATCGAGGCAGGAGGAAGGAGTCAAGCACTGTCCCTGAGCTCCTTAAACTTGCAGTGTAGGAATACAAGAGGAACTCATACTGCCAGACATGGAGGCTGCACTTAACTCTCACATTTATACCCTGTTGCAAAATCAAGGCTATAATCTGGAAATTTTGCTATTAATATTTTAAAGCATAGTAATTGCTGTATTTGAAAAGGGCTTTAACAGCTTTCTTGAGAAAATAAAATGAGCACTGTGTGCATTACATTTTTAGACTTCCTTTTACAGGCATAACACCAAGCATTTGAATGAGAGGGTTATAAAAGGAATAAATAGAAAGGTGTTCCTGATAAGAAAGATTTGAAAAACAATTTTGGAGATTTTCCTTCCTTTTTCTTTTATTACAGTCCATTTATATTGTAATACCAGTAAATACAACATCTTCTTCCTCTCCTGCTAAACCAAAGCATCTGAATATTGACCAGAATATATAGCTTATCATACTTTTTATGAAATTAATAATCAACACACACTTGTTGAAGACCTCAAACATTCCCAACCAAGGTTGAATCTCTAACATGAACTTTCATTTGTTCATTGACATAGGAATTTTGAATCCTTTTTGGAGAGAGATGTCCATCCAGCCTTGAAAACTTGACTGAGAATGCTAGTGTGTCTGTCATTATGGTTACATGGAGTCCAGAGAAGCTCCTGTTGTCCGAAGAACTCCATTCTACTTTAGAGAATGCTCCAATTGGATTGGTCTGGTTGGAATAGACCCATCACCACTAAACATTGTGTCCACTCTTCTCACAGGTCCTTCATTCCTTTACTGATGCCATCTTTGATGAGTGGATGAAAAGATATGACCCTCCCATAGATGCCTGGCCTCAGGAGCTGGCACCCATTGGTCACAATCGCAGGTATAACATGGTGCCGTTCTTCCCTCCGGTGACAAATGAGGAACTGTTTGTAACCACAGAGCAACTTGGCTATACCTATGCCATTGATCTGCCAGGTAACTAATAATACAACTCTACATGGGTGATTCATCCTTCTAACAAAGGAGCTTGCTTTCTTTTCAACATTAACCAAGACCTTTAATTGAAGCACTCAAGTCTAGTTAAGTTTATTGGCCATTTTCTAGAATATATGTTTTTAACAAAATGAGTCATTAAACTTCCAGTGAAACATCAGAAATGGATTAGTTGGCTGATTCTTGGTTTAGAAAACTGTAGGCTATTAAGAGATCTTATTTCACAGAGGAATTATCTACTCCTACTCCTGGTATGATGAGTCTATGTGAATTAATAGGATTAATTAAAAAAAATCCCAAAGTTTGTTTGAAATTTCTAACCAATAAATTCACATTGGACAGGACTTAGGGATCATTACATGAAGGCAGGGCCAGGATTAGGAAGGCAAGTACATGTTTTACTTTGAGTACAAAATTCAAGCAGAGGCCCGAAAAACTCAGTAACTGAGGCAAGTGATAATATAATGCAGTGTTTAAACAATTGATGTCAACAACCCAGATGAATAACAATTTTCAATAAGAACATATTTTTATTGTTTGTTTATATACAGCTGCATTATTTTGTAACTGGATCAGTTTGTTTCCAAAAAATCTATACCATGCACACTGGGTAGGTTTATGAGCGTTGACATCGACTTGTCAACAGATTGGGCTACATGGAACTTTATATATGTATTTTTAAATTGACTTTTTAAGGCACATTTTAAGATTACAGAGCTTTCATTAAGTTTTCTCCCTGGTTTCAAAACACGGAAGGATATTTTGAGATGTGAATATAGGGGCACACATAATTATTCTCTGTTCATGCCCCAGTAAAGCTCCACATGTTCTTTAAAGGATTTAAGGGCAGGTTAGGAAAGGACAAGGAAAACAATAAAAAAAATCTTAATTTGTCAATAAGTTGAAAAATACGCAGCCAATCTACTGGTGGCTTTTCCCCATGTGTGTCTGTTTTGTCTTCCCTACATCTCAGCTGACAAAGTAATCAAGATGATTTCTGAACCCAGTCTTTCTCTCCGAACTCAGTCTTTCAGGCCTTGGACCCTGTCTTCTTTTTCCATCTAGCTCTTCATTACTACTTCCTGTTCTCTAAACAAATTTTAAGTTTCCTTTCTTGGGGCAGCTGAGGACATTTCTTTTAAACGTATTTCCTTTTTTAAAACGTAATATTATAATAATGTGTATCCTGACCTACCTCCATTTCCTCTGAGAATAATCAATTAACAGGAACAGACTGAGTCCCAGATATACCCAGAATGGGTTGACTCATCAGAATATTCAGGTTCGTGTTCATTTATTGATTGATGTTGAAACTTAACAATCCTCTTTGGGGAGATAGGACTATGAACAGAAGGGCAGGGGATGCATTTTTCCACAACTTTCTTGGGGTAATTGGCACCCTACAAATGCTATTGACAAAAGAAAGATTAACAACAGAAATGCCATCCACATTTTATCTGCTGTTGAGTTTTACATGACACGAAGTCCTTCCTAGAAAGAAGTGAAGACAGAAAGAGGCAGACAGGCCTAGGAGCTTATTACCATTTGAAACAAAGAACAAGAAATTGTGGAGATGTGACAAGATGAAAGCAAAGGGTTTGGACTTTCAAAGATGGGCAACTCTGGGAAGGTAAACATATAGTGGATACTAGCGGAAGATAGGGGCTATCTCAGTAAGTTCAGTCTGCTTCGGTGCTCTTTTCTTCATGGCCTTAAACCTCCACGGGAGAGAGTGTTTATAGACAGGCGAGACTAGAAAGAGAATCTTACATTTAGATGACTGGAGGGTGCAGAACAAACAGTTGGCCAAGGAAAAAATGATTTTAAGAAGAAATAACAAATAGGTATATATTTACTAAAAATGGAATTCACTAATTTTGTGGAAGAGTGCTTTTAAAATATATTTGAGTAGAGGATTGGATTTATCCTGTGGAAGATTCAGATTTTATTCACAACTATCTGAATGGGTACAAATACCATCTGCTTCTGCTATAGAATGTAGCTGGTTATAAAAGCCAATCTGAAGCTCTCCTACATTTATCACCCCATAAAACAGGTAGAGAAAATAGCAGGCTTTCTCCACCTGAGGGTTGTATATTGTGCAGTTCCCCAGGTACCATTTTAGCATGCACTTTTACAAATGAGTTTCTAACTCACAAAAGTAGTTATATTCTTCCTTGGAGGGTTTATTCTGCATAAGCATTTATTGTAATGAATTTTAAAAATGCAATAAGCTCTACTTAAATAATGGGATGCCATTTCTAACTTCTTCAAGAAAAACAATTGTGGATATGATAAATAGTTGGTGAGGAAGGAGGAGATAAATTTTATTCTAGCAACAGTAGTTTTGCTTTATCAACAAAAAAATGCATGTGTAAAGCAAATTTTATTTTTTCCTTTTCTGAAAGCATTCAACTGATGAAACTCCTGATTGTAGACCCTTGTCTTCTGCTTTAATTTCAGTTGAAGAAACTCCAGGTTGGACCACAACCTTCTCAGTGGTTTTGGGAACACTGGTGGCTTTCGTTGGTGTTTTGGCACTGCTTGTTTTCCTTCAATATAGAAGGATTCGGAGAGGATACACACCCCTGATAGAGACACATTTAAGCAACAAAAGATACACAGAAGAAGCCTAGGGAGTTCATGACTTGCTTAAGAGACCACCAACCTGCAGGTCTGACCCCGACGGAAATCAAGCCAATCCTCACTGACTGTGATAATAATCACATTGTTCCCGATGTTCTTCACAGGTGTTGCCGATGACCCCAGATGGCGAAGATGCTTGTAGTTTGCTTGTTGCTAAAGAGTAATCCAAGTTAGGATAGAGCTGACAAATTGAGATATCTGATAAGAATTGTCCATATCGATTAAGCCACTTCTTGTTCAGAAAGCACTAAATAACAAAAAAATTGACCAAATTTAAATTGTAGGTCAGTGTCACTTGAGACCTGGATAAAATCATGATTCAATCTGTTTGGCTCACCTGTCTTCAGTTATAGCGATGTGAAGGAGGAGAGGGGTGGGGGGAGCAGATGAATCTCCAAGATTCATCCTACCTATAAACACCTGTGCTCTAGGTATACTTCTTTTATCTCAATTTAAGAGGGAGAAGGGGAGAAGGAGAGAGAGGTATTTCATACACTGGTTCATTTCCTAAATGTCACAATGGCCAAGACTGGGCTGGGCTGAAAGCAAGAGCCAGGAACTCAGTCTAGGTCTCCCATACAGTGGTAGGGATCCAAGTACTCGAGCCATCACTTGCTGCATCCAAGGGTGTGCGTTAGCAGGAAGTTAGAATTGGTAGCAAAGTCAGAATTTGAACCCAGGAAATCCAATATTGAATGCAGAAATCCCAAGTGGCATCTTAACCCCTATGGCCAACTCCTGCCCTCTTGGTGCCCTTCTGTTAATCTTCCTTGGGCTTCTTTTTTCTTTCTAGCCTTGAAGATGAAAATATACTCAGTTTCCACATAGGATGGGGAATAAATGAATGAAAGATCAATTCAATATTCTTTTGTAAGTTAGACTTTCCACAATTTATTAAAAATCTGCAGTTCTGAACCAAAGACTTGTTAGAAGATTCAGTGGTTGGATTTACATTGCTCCTGTAGTGATAAACAGAAAAGGGAATAAAAATACACAGTTTTCTAATTAATCTACTGTTCCAAACCCATTCACAAGTATTGACTCACTCTTTCCACAGAAGACTGACTGGAGAAAGCTACTGAAGCTCTAAGCTTGCACATGAGTCAATTTGATTAGAGTCCCATTACTTTTAGGTCTCATTTGCTGATCCTAAGTCTTTTCAAAGCTTTACTAGGTAGCCTCAGAGGAAAAACTCAAACATAATGCATCTGGCTTACTTTAAAGAGTTGGCATTAGATTCACTAATGCTGCACTGTATTGGTAGTTAGTGATGAGTGCTAATCAGTTAAGTCATTATTTGAAAGTAAATAATCTGTACAAAATATGACAATTCAGAACTAAATTGTTATTTTCTGCTAAATACTCACCAGTTCTTGAGGAATAAGAATGAGTCAATATTCACTACAACGTTCAGACTTATCATGATTTCCCTTCCTTCTGAGAAGCTAATGGCTAGTGAGATTTCAAGGCAAATTTCACCTGCACATATCTGGTGTCAGTACACATATCTGGTGACCCATCTGTAGGCTTGTTATGGTCCCTCTACTGGAATGGATGTGTGTAAAATAGATGGCTGTTAAGAAAGTCCTGGAGCTTCCTTATATACTTGGGGCTTATGGAGTGCAAGATTCATCAAGAACCAATGTTATATCCTGGAATGGTACTGTACTAGCCAGAAATGGACAACACCCAGCTGGAATTGAATTTGAGAGTTAGTCTTAAGAAGTTGCAATACATTTGAGGATAGGCTCAGTGGTGACAATTAAGAGGGGGTAGAAGCCCCATTTTGGCTTTTCAGCTGCTGCCACATGCATAGATTTCAATTCCTGCCATTAACAGTATTGGTGAAAAATGTAACAACCTGTCATTATAGTGATCCTAGCTGTAAAGTTTATGTTCTGAGCTCAGGGTTATTGGGGAACACATTTTTGCATTCTATTTTTAAATTGAAAGAGAAATATACTAAAATGAAGATATAATTGTGCATAGGAGATATGTTCCTAAAAAATTATGTGTAAATCAATATGTTAAAAGCACCAGGGGAAATTACTTTTTTAAGATGAACTGTTATGAATAATTCTGTAAAGCAAATAACCACTTCTATCTTATCATTCAGGAATAGCAAAATTTTCATTCATAATCTCATAAGATTTGGTTAGAGCAAGATCTATCTGAGCTAGCTAAATAGTAACAAATATTAATCATTATGCTTAGCTACTTTTATCCATGACATGCGCATGGATATCTTTATACATAGTATGTTTTATAATGTCTTTCTAAGAGAGATAGTTTCATAATTTTGTAGTTCATAAGAGAGGGATGCAATTTTCTAGCATCTTCTAACCTTACCATAAATCAATTATGAATACCTTTTAACGAATCTAAAGGTAGGATAAGCTTGCTGAACAAGAAGCTGGTATTTATTTACATTGCTTATTATGCAAGTAAACTCAGAAAATGTCACAAGCATTGCAAATTCAACTTTGAGGAAAATGAGCTGATTAGTTTATATGCTTATATTAGGAAAATTGTATGTATATGAATAATAATTTCAATAGAAATGCTTTTCTAACACTAACATTCAGATGTGAAATGAAATACAATAACTCCTCTGTAAAATCTCTTTTTAATTCTAAAATTCTTTCACATTCATTTGTATCTTGCTTAGGATTTAACATTGTTAATTATAATATTTCCAATGGGTAATTTTAATCTCACTAACCAGAAGTATAACTCTCATTAAAAAGGAAAATAAAAAAATACATGTTGTTTTGCATATTATTATTTATAACTTAGAGGTTATTGGTTTTTAATATGGGCATATCAGTTCCCATCTTTAGGACAGTCAACAAATATATATTGATAAATACACAAATTATATATTTATATTTATATAAGTATAAAAATAAGATACTTAATAACTACTTCATTTCTGAAAATAAGTTCTTAAACTGATAGTCTCCTTTCTGTGTAAGTTTCAAAGCAATCGCTACTTCCTGAGTGTCTGCTGTACAGGGAGGAAAAGGAGCCGGCAGCCTTTCTCCAGGTAAGGCATCACTTTTGAGCCTGGTAGTCCGAGGAATGGTCCCGGGGTAGGGTTATGGTGGCCACTTCAAGTCACTGAGGGAGGAGGGATCCTGAAGCAGCTGACTTGAGGACTTCCAGGTAAGCCTTCAAGGTCGGTCAGTGTGCTGGCGACTCTCACAAGAAGGGTGAAAGCCCCAGTGAGGTAACGGTTATCGGATGTTTGCTTTCACAGCTAAACTTGAAGTTAGAGGTTGGTTAACTCATGTAGATGCATAAAAGAGTCAGTTTTCCCCTAACAGGAGGTAATTACTTTACACAATACAATGACAAAATCCAAGGTTGAACTCTTCCCACTTCCACAGTGCCTTCTCAGCGTGGATACTCTATAAATATTTTCTGAATGAATAAATGAATGATAAACTAATGACGAGTAGAACTTTCCTTCGGGACCTCTGGCCTTCTTTTAATCTGTGTTGGAGAGAGCATAAGGACAGAATCTTGCATCCTTGCCATGAAATCAACAACCTAGCTTTCAGATGAAGTACATTTGCTAGGTGGAGTGTAGCTCCACACGACCTGACACAATGGGACACTCTTCAGCCATAATTTATTTCTAAATGCATCTTTCCCCCTACCATTATGTCTACCATTGTGAGTGAGTAGGATAGAAAGTTGAGATTTCTACCTACCTCTCCCTTCAGTCCTCATGAATATAATCGGGGGCTCTATTATCTGATATTCTAAAAGCTTTGTTTCAGTGGAGGAGTTAGTGGTTAAAATTATGTAGTCGGGCAAACCACTGCCTGTTTCACACCGATGGACTCCAGTAGCATCACTCTGGAAACGCTTCAAAGACAACCCAGTTCAGTCATCCTCCAGAATCAGGGATGTAGGGGATTCGTCCCTGCACCCCTCCTCTGACGCCAGTATTACAGATGCTCCTGTCCTTTATGTAAAATGCATATAACCTGGGAACACCCTACACACCTTAAATCATCCCTGGATTCCTTGTAATACCTGACACAATGTAAATGCTATGCAAATACCTGCTATCCTGCCTGTATTGTTTAGGGAATAATGATAAAGAAAAAGGTCGGAGCCGGTGCCGCGGCTCATCCTAGGCTAATCCTCTGCCTTGCGGCACCGGCACACCGGGTTCTAGTCCCGGTCGGGGCGCCGGATTCTGTCCCGGTTGCCCCTCTTCCAGGCCAGCTCTCTGCTGTGGCCAGGGAGTGCAGTGGAGGATGGCACAAGTCCTTGGGCCCTGCACCCCATGGGAGACCAGGAGAAGCACCTGGCTCCTGCCTTCGGATCAGCGTGGTGCGCCAGCTGCAGCGTATTGGCAGTTGCCGCCGATCAAAATGAGAACACAAACTTACAGGAAGACCTTTTCTTGTTGTCTGTCTTCTCTCATCGATCAGTCGGTAGTAGATTGTAGGATACATAAGAGGCCGCATGTCTGCACAGAAGCCATTTTTTTTTTCCTGAATATTTTTGGTCTGTATTTGGTTGAGGCTGCTAATGTGTGTAACACGAGGATAGCAAGTACTGACTGTACCTTAGCTGTAGCAGCAGTTCAAGTTGAAATTAGCAGCAGTCAAGTGAAATTAGCCCTTTGGAAGCTAGTTTTGTTTTTTTTTTGTTTTGTTTTGTTTTGTTTTGTTTTTTTTTGACAGGCAGAGTGGACAGTGAGAGAGAGAGAGAGACAGAGAGAAAGGTCTTCTTTGCCGTTGGTTCACCCTCCAATGGCCGCCGCGGCCGCTGTGCTGCGGCCGGCGCACTGCGCTGATCCGAAGCCAGGAGCCAGGTGCTTCTCCTGGTCTCCCATGGGGTGCAGGGCCCAAGGACTTGGGCCATCCTCCACTGCACTCCAGGGCCACAGCAGAGAGCTGGCCTGGAAGCTAGTTTAATGAAATCATGAAAAAACAGAAAAGGAAACTGAACTATACTTTAAGTTACAGTTTTCTAAAACAAAGCAAACCAAAGGTAAGATTCCTATTCAAGACCTATATGTTCTCTAGATTTTCACCAAGACTCCATCTGTTTGGGAGAAACGATTAACTTGCCTGTGTCAAGTCAGGCTTCTTGGCTATAATGTGACTGAATTTTGTCTCTTTCTCTTTTAATCATTCTCTGCTCCGTTGGTGGTTGATAGATATGAGCTAAAATTATCGGAGTGTCTCCCAAGAGTAATTTCTCTCTGTTGTAAACAATGCTAAGTAGAAAGACTTGAGCTTGTCTTTCATTATTAAAATAATAGAGGTTTCACTGCCAAAGATGCACACCCTGCTTACTCACTCATATTGTATATTTTGAGTGTTTCTGAATTTGCAATTAGAGCAATGACCACCTTGATTACTAGTGGAGTGGTATTAAGCTTACAATAAAGCAAAACCTGCCCTCTTGTGTTTTATTAGAAAATTGCACAAAGTTGTAAAGTTACATCCACTTTCTTCTACTGTGGTTAACTGCCTGGCCAGAATGGGGAAAATGCTAGAAAAATATTTGATATGAATTCAGAAATCAGAACAGATTATAGAGTATGGAGAACGAAACAATACCCTATGCAGGTTCTCAGAATTTCCTTTTAAATATATTTTGGAAGATTAAATACTTATAAGTGTTTAGAGGCACAATACTGGTTCCTGGGCAAAAACTCTTTTATTCTTGGCAGAAAACAGGGTACGTCAAAAGTTTGTTGAAAAACAGAAGTAAAGGTAAGTTTATCTTGGTATAAAAATGTTTGAAATCCATGGATATATTTTTCATAATATGCATTTTCTATGAACTCTTTGAAGACCTCACATATACTCAGGGTATAATTTAGTTAAATATTAGTTATGTGCATACCAGGGGACTCCAATTCAATCCCATCAAGGTGGCATTTACCAATGCCATCTCACTAGTCCAAGTGATCAATTTCAGTTCACAATTGATCATAATGAAAGGACTAAGAGTCAAAGGGAGCACATAAACAAGTCTAGTACCTGCTAATACTAACCGATAGAATAAATAAAGGGGAGAGTGATCCAACATGGGAAGCGAGATACTCAGCAGATTCACAGAATGGCAGATGTCCTAAACAGCACTCTAGCCTCAGAATCAGCCCTAAAGGCATTCGGATCTGGCTGAAAAGCCCATGAGAGTATTTCAGGCATGGAAAGCCAAGACACTCTGGCAAAAAGAAAAAAAAAAAGACCTAAATTAAAGATCTCTGTGAGTGAGATCCCAGTGGAAAGAACAGGTCTTCAAAGAAGGAGGTACCTTTCTCTGAAGGGAGGAGAGAACCTCCACTTTGACTATGACCTTGTCTAAACAAGATAAGAGTCGGAGAACTCAAAAGGCTTCCATAGCCTTGGAAACTCATGACTGGAGCATAGGGAGATTATTCATGCCATAAACAGGAGTGTCAATTTGTAAAGTCAACAACAGGAGTCACTGTGCACTTACTCCTCATGTAGGATCTCTGTCCTTAATGTGCTGTACATTGAGATTTAATGCTATAACGAGTACTCAAACAGTATATTTCACTTTGTGTTTCTGTGGGGGTGCAAACTGTTGAAATCTTTACTTAATGTATACTAAACTGATCTTCTGTAAAAAAAAAAAAGAAATTATCAATTCCCAACTTGACTCTCACTGGGATTAAACATGACAATAGGTCTGATCTGATTTCATCATCATTTAAAAAATCATCTATTATTTTTCACTTTATGTTTCTGTGTGGGAGCAAACTGTTGAAATCTTTACTTAATGTATGCTAAACTGATCTTCTGTATATAAAGAGAATTGAAAATGAATCTTGATGTGAATGGAAGGGGAGAGGGAGTGGGAAAGGGGAGGGTAGCTGGTGGGAGGGACGTTATCGGGGGGAAGCCATTGTAATCCATAAGCTGTACTTTGGAAATCTGTATTCATTAAATAAAAGTTAAAAAAATATTAGTTATGTGATAATACTTCAGTTGGAGATGGAAAAAACTTTTCTATTAAAAATTTTTATTAAGAAAAATTTTTGGAGAAGTTTTTAGCATGAGATTGAATCTGTGGACAGAAACTCGATATAAATATCTGAATTTGGGTGTGGGTCTGAGCAGGGTCAGCAAACGTCCTTTGTAAGGTGAGCAATATGGTGCAGCAGGCTAAGCTGCCACTTAAGGTGGCCCATCACGTTGTCAGAGGACCTATTCAAGTCCTGGCTACTAGGCTTCCAGTCCGGTTTCCTGCTGATACTCCTGGGAGGCAGCAGATGACGGCTACAGCACTCGGGTCACTGCCACTCACACTGGAGACCCAGATTGAGTTTCTGGCCCATGGTTTAGGCTTAGTCCAGTTCTGGTTGTTGTGGGCATTTGGGGGTGAACCTGCAGGTGGACGATCTCCCACTCTGTCTCTCTGCCTTTCAAATAAATATATAGATATTTAGCAAAAAAGAAAATGTTCTTCACTGTGGAAAATTCACTTTTCAAAACTGGACTCTTGACGGTGACAAAGGTAAATGTTTTCTATAATGGTTTTATATTAGATGGTGAGAAAGGGACTCAAATGATAAAGTCTTATAAAGCTTTCCCTTCTAGTACACAGGTAAAAATGAAAAGGGAAACCCACATTCAAACTTCCTGCTAATACAGACCCTGGGAGGCAATGGTGATGGCTCATGGAGTTGGGTCCCTACCACCGGCTTGGGAGACCTGAATTGAGTTCCTGACCCCAGGCTTTGACCTTGGCTCAGCCTTAA